CTGAAGACTGTAAGCCCAAACTTTTTTATTTGGCCCTTTTTTTTTTGAAGGGCAGTTAACAAGTGTTAGTTGAAGACAAGCACCAAACTGAGAATTAGTCCCGGTTATAATCAGAAGAATTAAAAAAAAATGTTTATTAAGGTCTCACATGTTATCTGTCATTTAGTACTAGATCTCTGTGACACTTACCAGTCATCTGACATACCACTCAGATGTGGTGTAGTAGCCCCATACCTTGGGAAACATTACCTAAAAAGACTTTAGAACCTGTGTGATCCCATGTGCTGGGTGTTTATATTTAAATAATATTAATGCATAATATTTTTACCAAACATAACCATCCATATCCTTCGCAACTCCCTTTTTGTTTCTGTTAACAGATGCGGCATTCCAAACGAACTCACTGCCCTGATTGGGATAGCAGAGAAAGCTGGGGACATGAAAGCTACAGTGGAAGTCACAAACGAAAGAGGAGATCTCACAGTAGTACACAAGAGAACAGGCATGGTAAACCACATCATCAATTTAAAGAATCTGATTGGTAAATTATTCTTGAACTAGTAGCATTTTAACACTAATAGTTTTAATGATTTGCCATTTGCTTATATAGCTTTCATCTGTCAAATTGCTTTATAATTCAGTTAACAAATATGCATTCAGAAGATATTTATTGAGTTTTAGGCTAGACTCTGTAGGTACTGAGGCTACAGCTGTGAATAAAATAGAGTTCCTATCCTCATATATCTATGTCTGTCTGGGAGTGGTGGGAGACAGTTAATCAGTAAGTGAATGTAAAATAAGTAACATTGAGTCCTGGCCAGTGAGGTTGCCAATAATGGTTGGGGAGATGAGACACACAAAAAGTTAAGTAATAGTGATAATAGAATGCCCAGTGAGTGCCTTTAACTTGCTTGTAGGAGGGAGATAAGTATGTTGGAGTGCTCATTGTTTCAGAAATGAGAGAGGAGTGGGGGGCGGGGGAAAGTTATTCCAGATGAGAAAAGCAACATATGTTATTTGGGAATATTAAAGTGCATTAGGGATTAGTGACTGTTTTACAAATTTTATTTGTAGATAAGGCCAGTGTATATGTTTGTTTGGGATTTTAGAAGCTTGCTTTATTCTAAGATCTATTCCTTTGCACAGACAGTAGCTAGTAATTTAGGAAAGGGCCTCAATAAAAACTTGCAACAGTATGTGTCCTGTTTTATTATATTCTTACCAGGATAAAATTTGGAGATTATACATTTATATAGAATTAAAGGAATCTTAAAGTTCTAAATGATTAAAGAAAGGCTAGGTGGGTAGAGTTTCTTTCACTCTGTGTTCCATTAATTTCCCTTTCTCATTTGTTTTGTTGGTTCTATGTTTTCTCCTTGTTTTGTGCAGATGTTCCATTGGGACTGTTTACCAGATTGCTTTCTAAATTAGCCAGCTGGGGTTACTTTAAAAAACAGTATGTAACTTTTTTCCTTCTCCATGCTAAACAGACATGTTCTGCCAAATAGTGAGCTTGTTTGTAGTCAGTGTAGACTAACATGCTTCATCACACATTGTTATATATGGGGAAAGGGGAAGGTTTATGGCAGGATTTCAATGACCAAAGCTAATTAATGTACAGAATACTATAGAAAACCATCTGTCCCCCACTATTCATAAATACAATCAACTCTCAAGGCTTAACCACCAGGCCAGTACCTTCTTTGACAGATACGTGATAATTGCTTACCATAATCTAGAATATTCTAATAGTCTTTTTGAAGATTAAAAACTTTACGGGAGTGGTTTTTATAAAATTATAGAAAAATGCAGAAAAGTATAATGAAGATAATCTCAGTAGGATGCTAGTCCCCATTATTTGGATGTAAAATTATTTCTAATTATTCTTAAAATATCTTTGTGTACGAATCTTTGCCTCTTGTTTATTTCCTAAAAACAGACTCCAAGAAGAGGCATTTTCAAGTTAAAGGGTATGAACTCTTAAAAAGTTCTTGCTACATATTCACATTTCATTTTCTAGAAAGTTTGTACCAAATTGTACTTCTACAACATGTTCTTTCATGCTATCACCAGTCTTGACTTTTTGTTTTAATTTGAATTTTTAAATTTCTAGTGAATTTGTCCACTGTTATATATTTGTAGACCACTTGAACTTTTTTATTCTTAGCCTATTTATTAGATTACATTTTTCTTACTGATTTAAAAGAGGTTTTTATTACATATTAATTATTTAAATTGTCATATGTATTGCAGAGTATCTTTTCTTATTTGTCTTTTTGCTGTAGCCTGTGAGTTGGTCTCCCTGCAGGGTTAATTAATCCATTCTGCATAATATGTTAAAAAGACTGAGGTGGCTGTAAATGCCACCTTTTATATATTGTGGTCAGAATCGTATAACATAAAATATCAAGTCTTTAACTAGTGATTCTCAAACTTGAGTGTGAATAAGAATCACCTTGGAGGTATGTTTAAAATGCAGATTTACCAGATTTAGGTTTAGTGAATATTACCTGAGGCCTGGGGATCTCATTTTAATAAGAACTCCATATTCAATATCATTCATAAATAGACCATCCTTTGAGAAATATTCCTTAGCCTGGTATGCAGGGCTTTTAATGATCTGTTCTCACCTTATTTATTTGTCCGCATTCCCCTGTGTGAAGATTGCTCTTGCTAGAGTTGTTTACTTTTTCCAGAGTAATACATAGACAAATCCATCTCTACGCCATTGTGTCTAAAAGTGCTATATGAATGTAAGATGGGACTATGCCATTCTTCTGCTCCTGGAATTTCTTCTACATTTCACTTTGTCCAAATCCTGCCTTCCCCTTACGATGCAACTCTGTTTCCATCTTTTTCATGAATTCTTCCCCAACCATTTTAAGTAGGTTTTCTTTCCCTTCTCTTTATCTAAGCACTCATGTGTAACCTTTCTGTATTTCCTGCATTGTTGGGTTTTGTTTCATTTTTATGTGAGTAAACTCAAATTGTTCATTATTGGTTGGCAGGGACTTTGCCTTATATAATTTTTTTTTATCTCCCACAGGACATGTGTGGAAATAAAAATGAATGCCTATACCCTTGTCAGTCTTGGCTATTTTGAAAGGCTACAGTGAAATATTCACTGGGCATTCAGTGAATATTTTTAAAAATTAAATCAATCTGTTGTCCTGTCTACCCTGTCCACAGCCTGTGAAATTCTGTAGACTTTGTTTATATAATCGCTCAGCCTTGGTCATTGGCCGTTATAGATTGAAGAGACCTTCATCTTTTTAGTTTATCCTCATGGTATTGTTTTACCTCATGTTTTGTTATCCTGTAGATTGTTTATGGATTATTAGTAGCTCTAACTTCGTGCATTATTCTGGCTAAAGATTTGTTAGTGTTAGTTTTTTCTAGCAGATTTTGGACTTTTATGGGAAAGATGCCTTACAGAATTAAACAGGATGCCCTCAAGAGTATGCTCATTTCTAGCTTCTTATATTGTAGATCTCTTTCTGACAGTTCCAGGCCAACTGATCAAATGCCTGACCTATACCCACAGTGTTACCCTGATGTCCTGAGTTCTCCAATGGATAGAACTTAAGACTGACACTAGGCAAAGAGAGGAGGGTTCCTGCATCTCCCCAGCCTGCATTTGATGATAGCCCTGTTGGGTAGGATTTATAAAGATGCTTCTATTTCTTTCTGCCTAAACCAGCCCCCCTGGGAAAAAAAGGACAGCATACTCTGGGAAAGGAAAGGGGTTGGTGAGGGCAGTTAGTCGACATCTGTCACTCCATTGCTTGTTAGGATTATTTTAGCCGATTTGTCTGACTGGGCAGGTGTCCCCTCTCTCCCTCAGTGCTCCATGTGCATCCCTCTTGAAGCTTCGCACTCTGTTGAAGAGGACACTCATCCCAGGTAGAGAGGGGATGGGAAACTGGGCCAATTAAATCTATGTCCTTTCCTTTGCATCCCATCAATGCTGCTTAACTTCCTAAGATCCATGACCTCTATGAAATTCCTTGCGAAGTTTTGTGTATGCATTTGTGTGCTTCTTGGGGAAGAGGGTCATAGCTTTCATCAGATTCTCAAAGGGATCTACAGATGCAAGCACTATGGCACTTGATGATGCTGTTTTCTGTTGTATTTCTTATGTATTTCTCAAGCAGGAATGACAGGAAATTAGAAATGCAAAGGGAAGTAGGGTAGTGGGACTGTCGTAATCTTAGGCAAGCAATTACAGGATCCCTTTTTTATTTTAGATGTCTTCAGCGCATGAGGCAGTCCTCAAAAGCTGTGTTGTCTGTTTCTGAAACAGGAATAAAAGAAGGCTAGAAATGTAAAGAGGAGAGGAAGACAGGACAGGTGATAGGTGTAATAAAAATGGCCTGTATCATAGCAGTTAGAAAATATTTCAGGTTTTGACACTAATGTGCTCTATCACCATAGCAAGTCATTTTCCTTCTAGGGATCTTAATTTAGTTGTTGGTAAAATGAAAGGGCTAGAAAAATTTTAGGCTCCTTATAGCTAAAATACACCTTTCATGAAAAAATTCTCTGTGTCCAGGAATATCTAAAATGCACTTACATTAAAAGAGAAAGGAATCCTGTTTTGCCTGCCTCTGATTGTGTGTGCTTCTGTGAGAGAGGAAAAGAAAGCTTAGACGCATATATCATAAGACTGATGAGTTTCAGAAAAGCACTTTCATGAAGTTTTGGTTTTAACTTTCTCCAAGAAGGTAAAGGAACACTTAAGTAACAATAAATTAATGATTTGACCCAAGCTTTGTTCCTTGGTGTGAAGTGCTTGACAACAATCTGTATAATGGGCCCATTTACTTGATTGTTAAAGTAAAATTATTTGTTAAACTTTGAGATAAATATAAATTCTAATTCATCAATTTGAATTTTTTTTCTTTTATTGAGTTAGCTCTTTAAACCAAAAGTTCTTGGAGAGGATGTTTTGTTTGAACCACATTACCCCAGAATGAAGAGAATAATTTGAAATCCTTTAATGTGTTCACAGTCATTATTTAGAAGCAAGGTCCTTGAATGAGAGAGATTATCGGGACCGGAGATACGTTGATGAATACAGGAATGACTACTGTGAAGGATATGTTCCTAGACATTATCACAGAGACATTGAAAGCAGCTATCGAATCCATTGCAGTAAATCTTCAGTCCAAAGCAGGAGAAGCAGTCCTAAAAGGAAGCCTAATAGACACTTTGGTTCAAGTCATCATTCACGTTCGGTATGATTGATTTTGTTTTTATTTTGAGTGGATTCTTATTTGTGCATAAAAGCTCTTAATGAGCTGATAAGTTTCTAATGTTTCTTTATACATATATAATACTATTTGGATGTATTATAATTGTATTTATATTACTTAAATCCTTAAAGGAAACTTCCAAATTCTCATAGTTGATCTGTTTATTTATTAGCTAGCCCTCATTTGCCCACATTTACTTGTATTCTGAGATCAGATCATGAGTTCATTGATTTTAATAATAAAATTATCTTATATTTTTGTGTTTGTAGTATAGTTTTACGAAAAACAACGCACCCATCTTTTCTTTCATCTTAAACATTTTTTTACTTTGAAAGAAACCCCTGATACTTGGAAACAATATGGAAAATTGCACTAGTGGATACTTAAGCATTATTAGCTCGTATTAGCTAGTTCCATAGCACAGTGCATCATTGTCTGCAACCAATTCTGTTGAAATTGTGAAAATGGGTGCCGAATGGGAAATGTATTATCCAAAAAGCTTGCCTTTTTTTTTTTTTACATTCAGACATCTTCACCTATTTAATCAGTAAACTTTGAATTACTGTTTTTCTCCCCAAGTTTTCTTCAGTAGAAGTAGCTTGTATTAGCTTGAACATTGAAATTAGCCTTTATTTTCCCCTTTTATTTTAATCATGAATATTTTTATGTATTGCTAAGAACAATTTCGACTAATCTTAACATTTTAAAACATTTTTCTGACAAACTAGACATCTCAACTCACACCATATGCTATTTATAGCAAGAGATTAGTAAATCATGACATTGCATTCTTTAAATTTCAGACTTCAATTAAATCAGTATTTTAAAGAGACAATTGTGTTGTTTTTTTTCTATTGCCACTTTAAGTATCTTATCTGAAAATCTGTTCCTTGCCATGTTTTTCTTCTGTAACATAAACTGTGCCCTGTGAATTTCTGGGGACTGAATTTGAAATTGCTCCTGCCAACTGTTCGTGGCCTGGTGCTTATCTGAATGCCTGAATATCTCCCCGCTGAATGAATTGCGTATTCTGCCCTGAATTCACTCTGATATATTGATTGGCTGGACGATCTTGGTGCTGCCCACTTGCCGTTCCAGAAGAGCCACCGAAGGAAAAGATCCAGGAGTATAGAGGATGATGAGGAGGGTCACCTGATCTGTCAAAGTGGAGACGTTCTAAGAGCAAGATGTATAGAATATTTTTCAACACTTTTTAAACTTTGCACACAGAATAATCTTTTTAAGAATAGTTTGTCAGCGGGGGGCTAAAGAACTCTTCATTACTTTTTTGTTTTGTTTTTTGTGGGTTTGTTTATTGTTTTGCATTTCTTCTTTTCTGTAGAATTTAAATATTTCTATTCTAAAGTTCCAAAATAATCAATGGAATTTGAGATTAGAGCAAGAAAGATAGCTCTATCTAATTGTTTTTGTAGCAGCTGAAAATAAAATAATTTGAGTGCTGAAACCTTAGTTATGCTTTGATAGAGATCATTTGAAAATATTCCACACTTAAGCATTCATTGTTTGAATAACTAGATAATTTGTACTTGGGTACTTATACCTCTTCCCCCCCCCTCACTTTAGATGAAATTGTGGACACTTTGGGTGAAGGAGCCTTTGGCAAAGTTGTAGAGTGCATTGATCATGGCATGTAAGTTCTTTTTTTTGAACATTCTGATATTTTTGGTGGGGAAGGATCCATAATTTAGATGAAATATATTTTAAGTGGTAGCCATGTGTTTTTCTGGGAGGTATAAATATACAACAAAATTTCTTGAGCTGTGTATGATTTATTTGCCATTAATGTGGATTTTGATCAAGAATACTGACAGATTTTATCAGATGGAGTTCATTGAAATTAAAGTGGGTATTCAAGTGAAGATTCAGCTTTTGGATTGCAGAGACAATAAAGCATATCTAATCTTGCATGTTAGAGTTAGCTTCCTAAACTACAAAGAAATTATATTAAACCCTACCGAAATAAAGTCCAAGTTCTTTAATGAGGCATACTAATGCCTTTGTGATTGGACCCTCTCTGCCTCATTTTACCATTTTCCAGCAGGACTTCTCTTCTGTGGCTTGCAAAGTTTTTTGTAAGTGAACTTCTTAAAACAATTTAGTGAAACTGCACGTTTCTAAAATTTTTTATCATAAATTAAAATAGTTGGGAAGGATATAATTTGTAGCTTATTATAAACCTTAATTTAAAAAAAAAAAACCTTCTCTCTCTTTAAATGTATTTGAGGGAATCTAAATATGCGTTAAGAAAATGCGTTAAGGTGTAGCATCAACCATAAACAAACTCTTCTTGAATACTTAGACATGTTTTATTCTTGAACTTATTTTCATTCTACTTTCCATAAAGAATATTATCCTAAATTAACTTTTATAGTCACCCCATGTCGTTTCTCTGCAACAAAAATGTGACCAAAATTGAACTTTAAAATATTTTGAAATATTTTCAGACTCACAGAAAAGATGATAAAA